CATACCCTAGAACTTACCCTTTCACATATTCTAAAGTTGGTTCTAGAATCTACTTATGTTCCATCTATATTGTTAATTGAACGATTGTAGTGAATCATCACATTTAATAACCACCACTTGCTATTACAATTCACTGATCACAATTTGCATTTAGAATCATAAAAAATATGAAACGTTAACAAAGTAAAAGTCTTAGTCATAAAATGGAAGCTCAAACTAGTGATTTCAGATTATACACTCATTATCAGATGCCATTGAATACCGCAGAATTGTGCAAAGACACAGACCAAGAAAAACAAAAACTTGTTTCAGGTTTCACCTATTTAGAACCTAGAATCTACCTGTTGAAACAGGTTCAACCTGGAACTTACCTTACATCCCTTGGAATATGGAACCGGACAGGTTCCCACCGGTCTGCTTCCCCAATTCCAAGTGTCCGGTTCCAAGTTCTAGGTTCTACCCTATAACCATGCTCACTCCTAGGATTATGTATGCACTTTTGTCACATCTCTCAACATGGTCGAGCTAACATTTTATGTACTAGTTTTATGTACTAGTAAAACTAGACACGCGTTCTGAATTAGAAATATAGTTGATATTCAAAACAATGTTGCAATATACTATACATGAATTGTTAAATAACAGAAAAATATTATCGACGCCATATGAAGAAATTTTACTTACATATGTGTAAAGAGAAAACATTCAAATTTCAAAATTGAAGTACACGAGTCCCGAGAGATCAAATAGCATTATTAATTTATGAACCCGTCCATTGACGCAATCATTATCAGATAATCAATTGATGATATCTTTCGGGGAAAAAAAGGAATTTTGATCCCATTTTCCTGGTCTAAGGTCCTAATTTTTTTTTATTTACCCTCTTGCTTGCGAGAGAAATGTAAATAAAAAAACTCCAAAAATAAATAAATAAAACCTCAAGTGTCAACGTGGTATACTGGTAGTGAAAGCTAGCGTTGACTTGGTATTTCATATATTTAGAGGAGAGATCTTTACAACATCTAGTTCCTCCGAAAGCATTTGCTAGAAAAATATAATCGACTTGTTTATAGGTTTAAAGACATCGTCGCCTTTTTTTTGTCTAATAATGAAATGTTCGAGACTTTTTTTAAAACTCCACAAATCTAAATCGGGACGGCGATCCTCATCCTGTCCATACGGAGCAATTCAGGTCCGTGCATCCTATTTTACATCCTAGTAATTATAAAAATAAATTGTAAGCTAGAAGTTGTGAAGAAGTAGGTGTCTTTATTTTGCTTCTGCGTTTAATTTTTAGGGATAAGTATACTGGCAGTCCTAAAACTTGTCGCGAAAATATAATGGAGTCCTAAAATTCACAAAAAGTGCAATCAAGTCCTAAAACTTGTCAAATTTATACAGTTGAGTCCTTCTGTTAACTCTATCCAATTTGGTTAACGGAAAATACTGATGTAAATTTTTTATTATTATTTTCTCTATCCTACGTGGAGAAGAAGTGTCCATGATTTAGAAAATTTCTTCAAGGATTCTATTATAGAAGTGTACTTAAACAAAGGATTAGTTTGTTTGACGAAAAATCATATACGGAGAATTGCTTTCAGGTTTTTTAGTGTTTGGATGACAGAAAGTTAGTCAATCGACAGAAAACAATTTCCATAGACCGAAAATGGCAAGTTTAAATTGAGAAAAACAACTTTTCCTTCTGGCATGTAGATTTTATAACTAGGAAAAAACCACTTGTAAGTGTTGATATTCCTGATAAGAAGGAATTATAAAATTTTGTGGGACTACTAAATTAATGCGTGGTTTAGTATATAAATATTCCATTACTACTCCTCACTCGTGGACGGAGGCAGATAACGGGTCTATAAAAATTGGAACTTAGGACCTCCTACTCTAATAGGATGTCAATTTTGTGGAATCACTGTCGACCATTTTAAATATTTAAATCGATATATGAAGGTATGATTTAATATCTAAATATTTGAACAGAAGAGTCAATGACTTTGCAAATTCCTTGAAGGATTTTGTTACAGAATTGTATTAGATGAGAGATTGAAAATTGTAGCACATCATATCAACTCTTTTCGCAATATGAATAATATATACTTGAGAAATCACGCCACCAAGTGTGCGAATGATGTTTTTTTATTTTTCTGTTCCAGGAGCAGGTTTGAAAAAGAAATCCGTTTCCTAACGCAACTTCATCTTTCTATTTCCAGGACAAATTTTTAGCCTAGAAATATATTTGGAACATAAATGAGAAGTAGAAATTTTATACTTTTCTAGTTTGGAATAGAAACAGAAATAACAACTCTTTTCTTCACTCGCCCTTGTCGCCCGCTGCCTGCTACCACCGCCTGCCGTTGCCGAGAACAGAAATTTAAGAAGGCCTATCAAACGAATTTTTGTTCCGACAACAAAAATTTTGTGTCGTTATCAAACGCTACATTCTGCTAAAAAACTCGTCCAAGGGCCAAAAATTATTTCTGGAAATAGAATGTTTATCATTCGCGCCTTAAGCATACTCAAAAAGTGCCTCCAGGCACTCATTGACATAACTTATTTCTTGGAAAAAAAAGAGAGTAAAGAGCACGTCCTTGCTAATTGCACTTGGAAGCTAAATAATTTCTCAATAGTGTGAGGACCAATGGAAAATAATAAATTATCCTTCAGTACAGATCAAACGGATCTGGAATAATCTTGAGACCATATGGTTTGCTTTATTTTATGTCAATTGAAAATATGGCAACTTGACGTTCTTGAGCTTTTGATTTCAAAAGGGTGCAATGGAAATCTTAGGAGTTAGTACCAAAAAAGTCCTAAACTTTAAGATTATACGTGATCATATGTATATAAAAAGCATACAAACCCATAGACAGGTAATATGAGATATTTTAATAGGCTTAACTAAGGTTGTTGGAGAATATTAATAAGTGAAATTTTAATTTTCAAATAACATTTTGAACGGTTAAAATGCCGTCATAAGCGTGTCGGTACCATAATCTCAAGAGGTTATAATAGAGTTTTTTGGGCTTTCATTCTCGTATCAATTTGGAAATTACGAGGAAATTTCACGCGATTTCAAATGAATTTAAATATCCACATGTGTCTATGTGCTAAGGATTTAGATGCTTAGAATTCCACAAAAAGAAAATCTCAAGTATCAAAAGTGAAAAAACAAGTAAAAAGCTGAAAAAGTAAAAGTTATTCCGAACACATGATTATACTACAATGTTACTCGTAAATTAATTCAACCACGGGGTTGTCCACTGATAGTAGCTACGACTTTTGCACGTTCAAGAAAGATGTTCGGCCGATTGGTGGCTATGAGTATGTTCCAGCTTGATTCTCCATGAGATAGACCCGTTCTTCGTACCAAATCACATCACATGTCAAATGTCGAATATCATATACTATATGGAAATGTCTCCTCTAGAATATCATGCTGGCTGGAATTTGCCCCTACGTAAATATTAAAATGAGCTTATGCTTTCCTTGGGTCATCTCAAACGCTATCCCATCATAGTGGACACTCTACATTAAGAAAACTTGGACATGATGGAGGAGGTCTGTCCATGTTTCTGGCAAGCGTGATACACCAGCAAGAATGACACCCAATGGCCTTTTTAAGAGCTTGCAAGTCAGATACTCTTGCAAGTCAAAATCCATGCGAAAAAGCATTCAAAATATTAATTTTTTTAGGAGAGACTTGTGAAATCGAGATTCCCAAGCAGTGGTTACGACATGAATTAGAGACTCTGTAAGGGTACGACTCTCGTTAAGGGTTGATCAGGAAGAGTCGCTCTATTTGATCTAACTCGGACACCTAAGCAATATATTCAACAACGACATGTGAAATTTTCTTTTGAAAGGAAAGAAAAATATGGATAATTACACAAATGGTCCATGAACTTTGGCACAATGTGCAATGTAGTTCCTAAACTTTTAATTTGTTCAATGTGATTTTTATGCAATATCATCTCCGAAATTTTTATTTATTCAATATGGCCCATGACCTTTTGATATATGTTCAATCTAGTCCTTGGATTATCTAGTCTATCTACTAAATTGAATATATATCAAAAGTTCATGAATTATATTAAACAAGTTAAAAATTCATGAACCGCATTACGTATTAAAACAAACTTTAGGAACCAATTACGTCATTTTCCCAAAAAAATTAGCTATAATCGTTGTATAATTGAGAAGCTTTTCATTTCAGAAATTGAATGTAAAATGAGCTCTCGTTGGCAATTGTGGTTGCTAACTTGTAAGTACGGGCGATCTTTAATAAGAAAAGATTGAAGGTTCTGACAAGTGACATACCGCAACGGACGGTGCGGAGGCCACATGCATACGACATACCCACGTTCGGACAACGTTCGACGCGCCGGATGATTGAGATTCTTTCGTTCGGTTAAATAAAAGGAGACTGAGGTGAACCCCCATTCCAGTATATCACCGTCCCATCTCGTGCCCGCCACACGAACTCTCTCTCTTTTTCTTCTTCCTTTTGGGTTCGCCCTCGCTTGGTTGATAGAGATACATACCAGGTAAGCAGTGCCGTTTTCTTTGACTTGCATCATGCCCATTATCACTCCCATTTCCCACATTTAGAATGCATTGGTATCGTTCGTGGATGATCAATTAGGTGAGCACGTTCTATCCCACTGTTTAGGTATGTATGATTACGTACGTTGTTTTTAATTCTTACTTCTCTCGTTATGGACTCTCGTACGCGTGATTGGAAATACCAGACCCCTTCTAATCGCCTTAATGTTGCCTCTTTTGAATAATTTGACATATCCGAACATTCCGGTTCAATTAATTTCACGGATCTAACTCAGATTGTCCCGTTTATGTGCGTCGGGTAGAATTGCATCCGCATAGTAAGGTATGACATCTAGGGTTACTCTAGATGGAAAACGACTCTAATTTTCACATGGAATCCATTGCATTAGGGCACATTTGAGGGACGACCTGAGACCATTGAACAAATGAACACTGGGACGTTATCTGTTTGGGTCCTCTCGATGATTCTCGTGGGTTGGGCCACGACGGAGGCCCAAACACCTCCGCCGCCTTCGGTGACGGCCGCAACCTTGCTCCAAGTGGCCTCTTCTCTCCAGATGTATGTCGATGAACTCCCACAGATCCCCAAGCTCTTCGGTTACACCATGGTCAACGGAGTGCCTCGACCTACCAATCTCACCATTGGCATGTACGAGACAACATGGGTACGTCTCTCGCTGTCGAGAAAGTATTTTCTATTATGGTAACACAATATCCCAATTTTGAGGTGGTGGCACCAATTAATCACCACTTGCAGTGCAATGAATATATTTTTATCCTATTTGGTGCCATGTGTGTAATAAATCTCTAATTTTTTATTATTTTTTCACGTTACGTGTCATTGCTATACGGTGTAACGATTATATAAAATACATTCTCCCCAAAAAAAAAGGGGGGGGGGATCTGATTTTAAAACTTGTCCCTCTCGACTTAAAATTATGTGTCCCTACTAACAACTTTTATGCGTGATTATGTTCAAATGACTAAATCAATATTAAAACCATCATTTGCTCATTGAATTTATTTGATTAGCAGAAATTCCATCGTGATTTACCCGCCACTACTGTATTTGCATACGGTACATCGGCAGCGAAAGCCACCGTACCCGGCCCCACCATTGAGGCCATCCAAAATGTGCCTACGTACGTGACATGGCAGAACTTCCTCCCTCGATCCCACATCCTCCCGTGGGATCCGACCATCCCAACGGCCATCCCCAAGAACGGGGGCGTCCCAACCGTGGTGCATCTACACGGCGGGATCAGCCCGCCGCAGTCGGACGGCCACACGTTGGCCTGGTTCACCGCCAATTTCGCCGAGACGGGGCCCACGTGGACCCAGAAAACCTACACCTATCCGAACACGCAGCACGCCGGCAACCTCTGGTACCACGACCACGCCTTGGGACTAACGCGTGTCAACCTCTTGGCCGGCCTGATCGCGCCTTACATTATAAGGAACATCTCCCTGGACGCCAGGTTGAACCTCCCTCTCGGTCCTATGTTTGACCGCGTCCTCATGATCTTTGACCGAAGCTTCAACAAGGACGGTTCACTATACATGAACTCCACCGGAGATAACCCCACCATCCATCCCCAGTGGCAGCCGGAGTACTTCGGCGACGCTGTCATAGTCAACGGCAAGGCCTGGCCGTACCTCCAAGTCCAGCGCAGAAGGTACAGGTTCCGCATAATCAACACGTCCAACGCCAGGTACTACCACCTCTCCTTGACCAACAATTTGACTTTCACCCAGATCGGGTCGGATGGGTCTTACCTCCCGAACCCGGTGGACACCCAGACGATACTGTTGGGCCCATCCGAGGGTGCCGACGTGGTGGTCGACTTCTCCAAGACAGCAGCGAATGAGATCATCCTAACCAACGACGCGCCGTACGCATACCCGTCCGGCAATCCAGTGGATCAGCTAAACAGTAAGGTCATGAAATTAATCATCCAACCCGGGCCTCCGTGCCAAACTGACCATTCCCATGTCCCTCCGAAGCTAAAAACTTACCCGGTAGCCTCAAATGCCATCGGCATGGCCCACACCACCCGGTACATTACACTCTATGAGTACCTAACTCCGGCCGGCACTTCAACCCATCTGTATATAAACGGTTTGAGATTCGAGGACCCGGTCACGGAGACTCCGAGAGTTGGGTCCACGGAGATCTGGGAGGTGATCAACTTGACGGGGGATAACCACCCGTTTCACATGCACTTGGCTGCATTCCAGGCCGTGAAGATCCAGCAGCTGGTGGACCTGGCCGGGTTCACCTCGTGCATGACCCAGCTGAACAATGCCATCTCGTGCAACATCACGGGCCATGCGACGGGCCCGCTGGTGGACGTGCCGCTCACAGAGAGGACATGGAAGAACGTGGTGAAGATGGCGCCCGGGTACAAGACGACGCTCGTGGTGCAGTTCTTCGTGGTTGACGACGAGTACACAATGTACCCGTTCGACGCGACTGCGGAGCCTGGTTACGTTTATCACTGCCACGTAAAGCTCCGCTTAAATTCAATCACGCATGATCGTTTTTTGACTTCGAAACTCCTTTACTCCATTGTTCTTTTCCGTTTGTTTTCAGAGTAGGGTTTTGTATTATTTTGTTTGAAGGCTTGTGATATGATTGATGATCTACACCTGTGCAGATTCTTGATCACGAAGACAATGCGATGATCCGTCCTATGAAGCTCGTTCACTGAAGAAGGGGATCTTCTCTTGCAAGATGTAGCTTTGATTTTCAGGTTGTAAGGTTGACTGTGATGCAAAATAAATATGCAAAGCCCCGTATGGCTCAAGCAGCAAATTTCTTTCTCGCCCCTTTAAATATGTATGCACCAGCTGTATCGGGGACTTCTCTTGGGAGGTTTTAACTGCAATAATACTGGACGAAGACATTGGATCTGGTTCACAAGATTGGACTTTTTTCTTTTGCACGAACGTGCAAGAAACACTAAGAATACCAATGTGGAATCAACATCGGACTTTATCACGAGCATCAAAAATTTTCATGCATTCATTATCCCAATAGTCAATATTCTTGCTTCGAGGTTTGATGGCTGAAGGCGCGAAGCTTACGGAGATGACTTACTGCACGAGGCAATGAACCAGAGGCAAAGAAGGACTACTTGTGTCGGATGTAGGTTGTTCCCATCATCTGTCCAAATCACGATATCGTGCCACTTGGTCCAACTTATTTTAATCCTTACTTTGTCAACACACGTTTGTTTTTTTTTTTCCTAAAATCTAACTCACCCCTACCCTCTCTCAGCACAGCCCCATAGGCAGCTGCGTCCCTCATCGTCCTCGGCCCCCACACCGACGACGGCCATGGTGAGCACCGCCACCAAGCCGGCGCTGATGACGACAGCGCACATACCTCACTCTTCGCTCTTTGGTCTTGTGTTTGTCCTCTCCCTGCTCTCACGTCACCCCTCATCTCCCCCCATCACATGCCGAGCTCAACGACTCGGAGCCCAACGCCTGCTTCGACCTTGGTGTAGCGCTTTGAGCCTTTCCCTCATCGCCGTTGCCGAGCCGCTCCTCGAGAGAGATGAGTCCAGATCTCGATTCGTTCAGATCTGGAGTGGGAGGGGTTGAGCCTCCAGATATGGAGACACATCTCTAGACTCGGCTCGCCGCCACCTCGATGGTGGTCGAGGCCTTGGGGAACACTTAGAGCCCGTCGACATCTCAACGGCGGCCGTTGCTGGGGAGTGGGAGGGTGGTGATAGACACGATATAAAGCCTAGCGAGTGGCTCCGCGGGCGGTGTCGAAGGACGTTGGCGGCGGCGGGGTGAATTGTACAAGACTTTCGTCATGTCTCTCAACATGGTCGAAATAAATATTTTATGTAATAGTCTAAACATAGCGTTCCGAAACCCACCCATGAGTAGCTCAGTTGGTTAGGGCATACTTGGGATTGTGTGGTTAGGCGCACTGGTCCCAGGTTCGATTCCCCAACTGAGCACTTGTGATTTAAGTGGGGGGCCATGGCGGTGGGTTGCTGTGCTAGTCTCCTCCGAGGAATAGTCGAGGTGCGCGCAAGCTGGCCCGGACACCTCGGTTACCAAAAAAAAAAAAAAAAAAACATAGCGTTTCGAATTTGAAATAAAGTTGATATTCAAACAATGTTGCAATATTCTATATATGTATAGTTAAATAACAGAAAAAATATTATCGACACGATACGAAGAAATCGTACACACGTGTATAAAGAGAAAATGTTCAAATTTCAAAATTGAAGTACACGAGTCCAGAGAGATCAAACAGCATTATTAATTTACGAACCCGTCCATTGACACAATCGTTATCAGATAATTAATTGATGATATTTTTGGGAAAAAAAAGATTGTGATCCCTTAAAAATAGGAGGTCGTCTTTGTTTTACATAATAATATAGTTTAGAGATATACCGAACGAAAATTTCTTATATATAAGTAATTCAGGCGCAGTGGTAGTTATTAAGGGTTTTTTAATTTTAAGGGTTGATACCACAAAAAACCCTAGATTCGTACACATGTGACAAATTCACTCTAAACTAATTTTTTTACCACAAAAATTTCAAACTTGTACACCTATGATAAATTTCTCCTTCATTAGTTTCTGTTAAATTTTACCATCAAATTGCTGAGTTGGATGACATGCGACAATTGACGCATGGACCAATTTAGGGTTTTACCCCTCTGTTTGTAACAGATTTACTAATTTATAATTTTTCTTGGTATTAATTCAATTTAATGAAGCGTAAATTTGTCACAAGTATATCAGTTTAGGGTTTTTGGTGGTCAAAAGATTAGTTTGGTGTAAATTTATCACGAGTGTACCAGTTTAGGATTTTTTGTGGTCAAAAAATTAATTTGAAATAAGTTCATCATAAATGTACCAATTTGGAGTTTTTCATGATATACATTTTTTTTAATTACCAAGTGACTCAAACCCAATCATTGTAGAATAGCTAAGAAGTGGTCATAACATCCGGCATGGCTTGCTTGCCCCCATTTTCTTGGACTAAGGTCCTTATTTTTCTATGTACCATCTTGCTTGCGAGGAAATGTAAATAAATAAATAAATAACTCCAAAAATAAATAAATCAAACCTTAAGTATCAACGTTGTATACTAGTAGTGAAAGCTAGTGTTGACTTGGTATTACATATATTTTTTTTTGGTCGAGTATTACATAAAGAAATGCTTGGAGGACGGTACCGTCACTCTTTGAAAAGTGACAGTACCCTCTTGACCACACATACTCAAGTATTTGCTAGAAAAATATTGGTTAAAGACACCGTTGCCATTTTCTTTGCCTAATAATGAAATGTTCGAGACTTTTTTTAAAACTCGACTAATCTAAATCGGGTGACGGCGATTTCCACTCCTCATCCCATCCGCATGGAGCAATTCAGGTCCGTGCATCCTATTTTACATCCTAATAAATATAAAAAAAAATTGTAAGCTAGAAATTGTGAAGAAGTAGGTGTCTTTATTTTGCTTCTGCTTTTAATTTTTATACACAAGAGTTGGACTAGCTTTGGTATCAAAATGAATGTTTTAAATTAAAAAGTTAAGAGCCATAAAGAAAATTTGTTATTTGCAGAACCTTATGGTTCATTAAGAAAATTCAATCACGCTCCATCAATTAATCAAGAACACATATTTATGGCAAAAATAAGAAAACAAATATGAATGGCAAGTCAAAAATAGGGAGGAAATTTTCAAAAAAGTCCTAAACCTATTGCACTTTTACCAATTCAGTCATAAACCTTTCAATTTTATCAATTAAGTCCTAAACTTTTTCACTTTTTGTCAATTGAGTCCATCTATCGAATTTTGGCCTAATATCGCTGATGTGGACGCTGGCCGTCTTACGTGACACAGTCAGCAAGAAATATTTTTTCAATTTTTTTTGAAATATTTTATTTTCCTTTTTTCCTTTGTTTTGTCCTTTTTTTTTCATGTGCCGATGAACCTCACTTGCGACCAGCGGGGCCGCGAAGGCCCTAGGCAAGACCATCGCGACCTCCAAATGACCATTTAAGATAATTTAGGGACAATCACCATTAATGTATGCCTTGTGTGGTTATTATGTGCACCTAATATACATAACATATGACACGATTAGAACCCTAATGTCTCCTATGCATGGCCGACCACCACCACTATCCCTCATTCCCTATTGTTTCTTCCATTTTTGCCCTTTGGCTTAAGTGAAATGAATCACTTGGCCATAAAACAAGTGTCAAGAGCTAATGACACTTGTCTTTAGCCATGCAAGAAGATAAAACCAAAAAGGGGAAGCCAATATTTCGTTTTCTTTCCTCCTCCCTTTGGTTCGGCCGACTCCCCACCCTCATTCCCTTCCACCGCCATCTCCAATTCCAGCTACATCTTCATATTCAGCTCCACTTTCTTCCATTTTTCGGTCCTAGAAGGCCACGGCCAGCTTACCAAGGACGCACGTAGAACTCATGAGAATACTAAGGCAAGGGAAACATCTTGATTCTAAGCCTATTGATCCCTTTTCATGCTTGGTTTTAGTTGTCACATCCTCACCTCGGGGTTATTAATGCGACGTTACAGGCGCGTCGCCGTCCCATTTCTTTTATCTTCTCATTAAGAGCATGACGTCCCGTTCAATTTTATTTTATCGTTACGAACAAGCGGAAGCATAAACTCGGGACAATCAAACAAACAATGGGGTTAAGACAAATACCATGAGCAAATCTTATATTTACAGGATGGCATATTTATTACATGAGTGTATTCTACAAGCCCCTTTCTACGGGTTTTTTTCCCTTTTCAACACACTACATTTATCCGCGTAGGTTAGGGGAAATTCCTATCTCCTCTAGGGTGACCACAGCTCCCAAAACTGATATGAGACTTCCATACCTACAAATCTGAAAAACAACGGAGTGAGTCGAGGACTCCGTAAGTAAAACTCACTAAACTCCGGATAGGAGTATGCCTCACCATCGAAAAAAGCACATGTCATAGCCACATCAATTGATAGCAGATCAATAGCAAAGATGCTTCAAACACACTCGTTTTTGTGCATAAGATGATCTCAACTTGCCTTTCTATTCAAGCAACAACATCTCGATCAAAAGCATGTACACAAGGGATTCATTATCTCAACCGTTGGTACGGTTCTTTCGGAAATTCTTCAGGCAACGTCCCCTAATCCAAGGGTGACGGCTTTTCATCCAAACTTAATCAAGCAACGTCCCATAATCAAAGGCAACGGCTATTCATCCTAATCCATCGGGCAACGCCCCCAATCAAGGGCGACGGCTATTCTTTTACCTCGTGCGACCATGCCAATAAGCATCATACCAACTTGAGTACTTCACACGAAGTGTGTATCATGCCATGTTGCCTATAAAGTCTTAAGTCATGCCGGGCACAAAATCAAGCTCGTGGCCCGAACCGACCGGTCATGGCACCGACCTACACCAAGCGAGGCTTGAATCGGTACTCCTCAATACCGATCCTCCAAGCAAGGCTCATTCCAACACGCCTCGACGTCGATCCGAACCAAATGAGACTCGTTCATGATCCAAGCATGCTCTTAAGCATATCAAGTGTTCACAAACCACATAATTCATGCAAGCACCACAAACACATGATTCGCCCAACAACGCAACACGACACCTTAGCCAAGGTTTAGTAAGTCTACTTACTACCCTCCAAAGTCGTGGCCG